TTAACGCTATAAAATGAACGCTATCGACATATCACCATCGCTCTATCGTATGAGCGACCGTATGTTTAACCACCCTCCCCCCATGATGAAGACACGTGAAAGGTAAAACTCGCTACATTTACATTTACATGTGCGTGAGGTGAAGGAGCGTCAGGGCGCTGTGAAGTGTATGCGAAGGCATCATCGGGGCGCCGCCCCCTCCAGACAGGGTTTTGACGCCCCCTCTGGTGGATATGCAGCGCCCCTACACGTTACATGCGCTGCATATCCACTTTTTGCGCCACTGAGTGAGGGTATTGTGATTTTAGTAATTACATGTTTATAAGAGCGATTTTCTGTTGTCCTTCCATGGAAGCAGGCAGCTTTCAAACGGAAATAAAACACTTTTTAATATAAGTTGCTGCTTAACATGATCACAGAACTGACAAAACATGTGTACAAAAATACCAGACAAAGTGAATCCCAGCAGCGTCATCAGTCGGTGTAATGCTGAACTGATGCGGTGAAGCTACTAGTAGCAGGAGAGGAGCTGCACCAAGAAGCTACAAACACTGAATAGAAGAAGAGCTGCCATCGATACAGTTGCAGCCCAACATGTTTTAATGTTACACAATACAGTTTTACCAAGTTGCTCAAAGTCTAAACTGGTATTGTTGTGCATATAAGGTGTAAAGTTTACCTTCTTCAACTAAACGCCCCCCCAAAGGAATCCCAGCGCCCCCTGCCATCCTCTGAACGCCCCCCGGGGGGCGGTATTGCCCACGTTGAGAACCGCTATTTTAAACATAATTTGAGCTATTTTAAATTCCACCAGATCTTCAAATTTAAGAATTCTAGATGTAATAGCACTGAATAGAGAATTTGTAGCTTCTAATTTATACTACAAACATTAGCTTCTCTACTGATTAACAGTCAATATTTCCATTATATTCTTTTTTTTTTTTTAAATGGCAGTTAACTAGGGCAGATCAAACATGACTGGCCACATTTTCCTTCCACTGGGCTGTTAGGTGGAGGTGTGGGCTTTGTCTGGACTCCACCTCCACTTGGTTAAAATCACATCCTCTTTGTGTCTCCCTACTCTCTTAATCGCTACACCACTTGTGATGAGAGCCACTGATCTTCAATGATTTAGGGAACTAGGGATGCATGATGTTTCTGCATCAAACTCTGTAGTAGTCAACATATCTGTACCAGTCCACTAATTAAAACTGGGCCGACATTAACCAGTGTTTATTTCCATCTTGTTCCTGTTTGGATATGCGTTTCAGGAGGGGGCAGTGGGTTGGTTGGGTTAGTTATGTGGTATAAGTTTGATGGGATCATAATACAGTGCAGGATTGTGAGATGTTTAACTGAAGTTTTTTTCCCCACAATGTTAAGCATCATCCATTCACACCCATGCACCCACATAGCTCATTGAGGCTATGTTATGATGCCTGGGTGAACGTTTACTTCTATTTTTCTATTTTTTTTCTTTTTCTAGATTTTTGGTCCAGTGATGCAGATATTTAAATTTAAAACACTGGAGGAGGTTATAACCAGAGCCAACGACACCAAATATGGACTTGCAGCTTCAGTTTTCACAACTGACATTGACAAAGCGAACTATGTGTCCAGTGGGCTTCGGGCTGGCACAGTCTGGTATGTGATGTGGCCTTTTCTTAAGACTTATCTAAGCCAACCTTAAATTATTAGTTTACTGGTGGGGGACATCAAGTTGTTGCCAATCAGATAGTGTTTAGAAAAAAATTGTATAAATCAAAAGGAAGGCCAGCTACAAAGTGTGATTTGTATGTAGACAAAGTTGTCGGTACCTCTGTGTTAATGAATGGAAAAACCCACAAAAATCACTGAAATATCTAAACTGACAAAAGGTAATGAAATAAAATATACTGAAAATGAACCAATGAAATTCAGACATTGCTTTTGAATTGTGGTTCAACAGAATCATTAAAAAAAACTAATGGAAAAAAAATGATGGTACCTCTAGAAAAGATTGAGAATGATTAGACCACAGAGACATGTTAAACTAAGGCATGACCACTAAGCAGTCCAGATGTTTTCTAGGTTATAATCAGTCAGTCGGCCTATTTAAATGGTGATCAGTTGTCCCTGTGCTGTTTGGTGACTTGGTGTGTTCCACACTGAACATGGACCACAGGAAGTGAGGGAGAGGGTTGTCCTAGGAGATAAGAAAGATCATCATAGAGCAGCAAGTTAAAGGTAATGACTATCAGAGCGTCTCCAAGCAGCTTGATGCTCTTCTGACTACAGCTGCAGAGATTATCCAGAAGGTAGAGGGCCACTAGACTGCTGCTAACATCCCTGGTTGTGAGAGGAAAACTGAAGAGAGGGATAAAATGAATGGTGACCAAAGAGCCCAGAACAAACTTCAAAGAAATGAAAGCTGAACTCCAAGGTCAAGGTACGTTAGAGTAAGATCGGACACATCAGGTTTTTAATCATTGTTTGAGCCAAAGTAAACGTCATGAGAGATGACCAAGGAGGAAAACAACGCATAAAATAGTGAGGGTGAAATTTTCCACAATACATGTTGACAAACCACAAAGCTTCTGGGAAAATGTCCATCAGACAGATCAGACAAAACTGGAGCTTCTTGGCAAGGCACATCAGCTCCATGTTCACAGACGTGAAAATGAGGCAGGTCAAGAGAAGAACATAGTTTACTTTCATCTGGAGAAGGCACTCTTCAAACCTGAGATGACTGGAGCAGTTTGTTCACCAAGATTGGACAAGAATATCTGTGGACAGGTACAGAAGTGTCATTGAGAGTTACGGAAATCCTTTAATCCAGGGATTACCTCCAAATATTGATCAACAAAATATTAAGTTACAGGCCTCACAACTTTTGTCCAGGTTGTTCATCAGGTTTTTCTTAATGATTCTGTTGTTGTTGCAGTGCAAAGCAGGTGTTACTGTAAAATTTCTTTTATGTTTTAATTTTTAGTGATGCGACATGAAAGGGAAACTGTATTAAATGTAGACAAATAGTTTCTATTGGTCATCAATTTGAAAGGGATGATGGTCCATTTATAGGTTCAGAGACTAACTATAAAACACCAACTGTTTTTGATAACTTGTCCAGTGGGATCCGTCTGTCAGCCAGGTGAACTTGGTCATCAACAGAACAATGACACCAAACACAGCAAGTCTTTGATGTCAAACAAATCAATTTCAGTAGCCCAGTCAAAGTCCAGAGCTCAGTCTGAATGCACTGGCAACATATTTTGGCAAACAAAAATTACATTGTAAAATGGAACTCCTCAGAAATTCCTTCAACTTGCTGCTAAATGTAGGTGAAAAGGGGTGGAATTACTTTACTGCAGCTGTGTGTATAGTATGCATCTAAAATGACTTTTGTTTTCCCTCTTTGTCTGCAGGATAAACTGTTACAACGTGTTTGCTTCCCAGGCTCCATTTGGAGGTTACAAAGCCTCAGGAAATGGCAGAGAGTTGGGAGAGTATGGACTGGAAGCCTACACAGAAGTTAAAACGGTAATTACCCAACATGCACATCACATCCTGAAAGCTAATAATGAGTGAGTCTGAATTGGCCTGGTGGTGGTTGGAGCAGAAAAGGGGAGGAATCTTAGAAATGAAGCAACGGTTTGACCAATTAGTAGAGAGTTAATAGACTTACAAATGGTGAGCCATTAACTGTAGCAATTCATCAGCTACCTGAGAAATAAAAATCTTAGTCTTATTAATTAAAAAAATCTCTTGATCTTGATCTAACAGGTCTATCTGAGGGGTCATTCTTTCAGTCTTCATTCTTAGAGTCCCAATAAAAACTGATTATACAGGACATAGTCACTAAGAAAATATTAATAACCACACTGATATATTTTTCGATGATTAAACAAGACAAGTAAGAACATAAACATGGAATCTACTTGAGGAGGAATTTCAAAGGAAAGTGAAACTAAATGTTCACATGAACCTGATTAAACATCCAACTTTACAACATCAGAATCAGTGATTCTTTCTGCGTTTACCTTTTTGAAAGGTAAACGGGGTCGTGGATATGATTTCAAATGTAACTAAGTAAATACTTTTATCAAAGCAAAAAGTAAAATGTTGAAAGACGCATCCCATGGTCATGGAAATAATGTCAATCTGTTTGAGAAGAGTCAAATCACTGGCGTCTAAGGAGATTGCAAAAACTACTAAAATTAGGTTAAGAACACATTATTAAAAACTGGAAGGATGGTGGGGACCAATCATCTTTGAGGAAGAAATGTGGCTGGAAAAGAAGAGCATTTTCACATCCACAGTGTAAAGGGAACTCAAGGGATTGGAACTGAACAGCTGTGTGTCCTTAAGAAAACCACAAATCATTGAGGCTAACCCAACAAAAAGGCTTCAATTTGCTAGGGAGCATAAAGATTAAACTCTGGACTCAAACCACATGACTTTTTTTCTATTGCTCCAGATTTATCTTGTTCCAGAGTGATGGGTGCATCAGGGTAAGCAGAGAGGCAGGTGAAGTGATTACCCATAATGCCTAGTGGCCACTGTACAAGCCTGTGGGGACAATGCTGTGGTCTTGGATTGCTGTAGTTAGTCATGTCTGGGGTCAGCAACAGTATGTGTTCACAGACTGAGTTCAGATGGCTATCTGAATGACCAGGTTATTCCATCAATGGATTTCTTCTTCCTTGATGGCCCGGTGATATTCCAAGATGACAATGTATCAAGATGCCAGGATTCAACGGGCTTGGAATGAAAAAGTGGTTCAGACATCATTTTCACATATTGATTGGCCAGAGAATCTTTGGGATGTGCTGGGGAACTCTTAGCACAGTGGTCAAACTCTACCATCATCAATGTAAGGTCTTGGTGAAAAATGAATGCAACACTGGATGCAAATAAATCTTGTGACATTGCAAAAGCTTATCAAAACAATGTCACAGCTAGTGTGTGCCGTTATCAAAGCTAAAGGCAGTTCAACAAAATATTAGTGTGTGACCTTTTTCTTTGGTGGCAACTTTTTTTTTATTTTTATAGCCAGTGTACATAATACTGCTCCTTCAACTCCACTGACCATTGCTTGGCACTGGTTCTGCCCAGCTCTCTTTAGTCATAGGACTGTTCCAAGTCTGTATTGGAGATCACAGAAGTTGCCACATCAGGCCAAGGAGTTTAGACTTGGTATTATAATATGCCACAAACAATATCTTACTGAAAAATTATTCCTTCAAACCCTTTTATTCGTGTTTACAGACTGACGGAGCCTCAAAACAAAGCCTGAGACTTGCTTTCTGCAGCAGCAGATCTCCACTTAAATGCAATAAAACAAGGATGCATTTAACTTTACTGAAGCAATGTAATATAACCAGAGACATATTAATTTTAAAGAGCACCATTTGACATGCACTCAAATAACTTGTAGAGCTCATAGATGAGCTGTCGCATTACATAAGTCACGGCCGATTGTTAGCAAATAAGATTGGGTAAAATCAGATCTAATGGTTTCACAGTTCACATTTCCAGCTGTCGGTCTTTCCTCGATGGCCGAGGGCCTGGAGCCTCTGCATGAAGCAAAGTGTAGAACAAGGGGCTGGTGTTTTCCAAGCTACAGGAAGAGTGAAAGATGAAATGTTCTGCTTGTTTCAGGTGACAATCAAGGTGCCACAGAAGACTTCTTAAACATTATCCTGGAAACCTGAGGCATGCTGAGAGGAAATGTTCAACTGTGATTTTTGAACTGCTTTGGATTATTCTGCTTTCTAATAAATATTTGCACAGCAATGAAATAAAAACAGTACAATGGATTTTTTCCTTTTTTCTCATCTAGAAAAAATGCATATCCTATTGCTAAGCTTTACAATTCATTGCTGAAGCATTAAAACAGATGAGTTGTGATGAAATGAAGCCTATAACCACAGAAACTGATTCAGATTTGGTAATGAATAACACTATGCTTCTCTTTGCTTGGTAAGTGTTTATCATGAAAGCAGTTCAGTGAAGTGCAACTTCCCCATGACGTATGTATGTATGTAATTTTCAGATTGCCTACAAAAGCTGCAACAAGTGGTTCCACCAGCATTGTGCCAAGAACCCCCAGCTGACACAGATTGTTGAATGTGTATTAAGAGTTAGATTTGAGTACAGTGGGTTCTTTCTGAATAATTTTTGCTGTTACCCTTTGTTGTAACATAATGAATGCATAAGATCAAAAAGTCCAGTGACACCAGGCGAGGAAGGTCATCAGCGGCCTCCAAATGTCTCTTCCCAGAAAATGCATGACCTGCAGTGTGAAAATATTGGATGATAATGTGTTACATGAAATTTTCTACATAATGACACATATCCTCTGAGCGATTGGTATACTTGTACGATATCTTTTGAACTGAAAAACAGGGCAGTTTTTCAGTTCAAAAGGTAAATTATTGGCAGGTTAATAGTTTGCTGTGCCAAAATATGCATCCCCTGCTAACTCAGACAAATGGAGAGTTAAGAAAGATGTAAGCTTTTCTACATAATCACACATGTTCTATGAGCCACTGGTATAAGTTTCATATCAATAGGACAATTGACTGGGGATGCAGATAATGGCAGGCTCAAAAATAAAAAAAAAAAAAATAATTTTATATATATATATATATATATATATATATATATGCAGTCTATTTTAATAGACTGGACAGTTAAGGGTGATATAAAATGTTCTACATAATGGGCCTCTGTTTTGTTATGCGTTAAGCTATTATGGTGTTAAAAGAAAAAGCGGGGAATTTCAAACCATGAGCGGAGAAAATATTCATCAGAGACTGTAAAACGTTTGAGTCATAACTCAAAGTTGTCAAAATCGTATTTATTTTAATTCATCTGCGAAATAAAACCCACCGTTGTAGGACTTCCATGGTTAAGAAACATGATAATGTTATGAATATCTTTAAAAGTTGCCTCTTCGATCATATTTCAGTCTGTTTTCTAATCTATATGCGAGAGTTTAGAGCGATGCGGTTCAGGGCCTGCAGTTCTCGGCATAATGCCACAGAGCAACGGCCAGATGTCACAGGCATAAATCAATCAAAATATAACCTCATCGCAAGTTATGAAGTTTTTTTTTTTTTACTGTTTACAGCTTCAGATTTATATATATCTATATATATATAATATATATATATAACAGCATGCGTGATCAGAATCATCAGTTTACTGGTCATTCAGGAGTGTTTTAACACATATCCAAGGGGGCAGACATCAGGAAACACCTATACCGTTGTTGCTGCAAATCTGCTGGGCTCAGGTTCCTTCTCGCGGACTTCGGCAAAGTATATTCCCCACAATTCATTGCTGCGTGTGTCATTTTAAATTAAAAGGTGGAAATATGTTTGTTTTTTTCTTTCTTGAAAATTCAAAGAAAATAGTATAAAGCACACATCAGTACTAAAAAAGTTTGACATGAGCAGAAAAAAA